GGGTCGCTATGAGTCGGTTCCAACTTGATGGCACCTAACAACAACAATAGAGGCAATGCTATGATTGTTGCTATTTTTCACTAGCTGCTCCCCTTTCCAATTCTCCAAGCTTACAACCTATCCCACCCTTGTTCTAGGTTAGAGTTTTTTTTCTCCCAAGGCCTCTGAACTCCTTTCCCTTTTGTCTGTCTGCCTTGCAGGAGAGAACTCGCCTTCTTTGGGGTGAAGGTGGCTGTGATTGAACCTGGTGCATTCAAGACTGGCATAACTTGCAGTGACAAATTTTCACAAACCATCCTGGAGGTGTGGGAGCGGGCCAGCACAGAAGTCAAGGAAGCCTATGGCAGACAGTTTCTGGCTTTCTGTGAGTAGTCTGTGGATAATGTAAAGACAAACAAACCCTGTCTGTAAGGCCAGGGTACATTGTTTGCTAAATCTGTCTCACCTTCTGTCCTCTAGTGTCTGCCTCCCCAACAGAGTTCAGACATTCACTCCCATTTCTCTGTAGGCCTTTGTTGTCACCTGGCAACCCCCAGAAAGAGCCCAGGCTTACTGGATCTTGATTTAAGTCTATGGATCGTGTCCTTCTCTGGTTTCAGTTTCTTTATCTGAACCTCTTCATTTTGAGAAGGAAGCTGAAGCCAGAAAGGATAGTAAGCTCTTGTTAGAGAGGGCTGATTGTCACATACTTAGATTCCTAGTGTTAGCAGAGGACTTCATTCATGCCATCCAAGTATTCTCAGGTTGAGACCCCAAATGGTTAGCGTGGAACAACTACCTGCCTTAGGAAAGGACAGGGCCAAGGCAATCTGGCAGGTGTAAGTTGGGAGAGATGGCTTTGGGCTGTAGGTATTATTAGGAACTTTTCTCTCAAAACTGGTTTCAGTGTGGGAGGGGTTTTTGGTGAAAATATAACCTGAGTCCTTTCTCATTCTGAACAGGCATGAAATGGCCTAAAATAATGAAGAGAACTTATTCATCTAATCTGTCCTTGGTGACAGACTGCATGGAGCACGCTTTGACGGCCTGCTATCCACGCACCCGATACTCAGCTGGCTGGGATGCCAAGTTCTTCTACCTCCCTATAAGCTACCTGCCCACTGCCCTGGTGGATGCTATGATCTCCTGGAGCTCCCCAAGGCCTGCCAAGGCCCTGTGAAGACAGGACTAGGGTGCATGGTGGGCTGAATTGGAACAGACTTGACTGCACTTAACAACAACAACAACAACCAACTTTTTCATTCTGAAATTTCTCAATCATGCAACCAAGATGCACTGATAATTACTGGTGATTGCAATGCAAAAGTTGAAAAATATTACCTTGGGGATACAAATGAAACTGGAGATTACATGATAGAATTTTGCAAGACCAATGACTTATTCATTGCAAATACCATCTTTCAACAACACAGAAGGCTTCAGCAGAAGGGATATACAGGAATCAAATTAACTACATCGATTGGAAGAGATGAAGGAGATGCTCAGTATTGTCAACCAAAACAAGACTGGGGCTAACTGTGGAACAGACCATCAATTGCTCACATGCAAGTTCAGATTGAAGTTGAAGAGAATTAAAACAACTCTGTGAGCCAAATGATGACCTTGAGTCTCTCCCACCTGAATTTAGAGCCCGTCTCAAGAACAGAGTTGATGCATCAGACACTAATAAACAAAGACCAGAAGAGTTGTGGGATGGCATCAGGAACATCAGACATGAAGTAAGCAAAAGGTCATTAAAAAGACAGGAAAGAAAGAAAAGACCAAAATAGATGTCAGAAGAGGCTATGAAACTTGCTCTTGAAAGCAAAGAAGCTGAAATGACTGGAAGAAATGATTATGTAAAAGAAGTGAACAGAAATTTTCAAAGGGCATCTTGAGAAGACAAAGTAAAGTATTATAATGAAATGTACAAAGACCTGGAGTTAGAAAACTAAAAAGGAAGAACATGCTCAGCAGTTTTCAAGATGAAAGAACTGAAGAAAAAATTTAAGCCTAAGGCTTCAATATTGAAGGAGTCTATGAACAATATGTTGAATGGCACAATAAACATCAAAAGAAGATAGAACGAATATACAGTCACTATACCAAAAACATTGATCAATGTTCAATTCTTTCAGAGGTACCACATGATCAAGAACGAGTGGTATTGAAGGAAGAAATTTAAGCTGCACTAAAGGCATTGGTGAAAACCAGGGCTCCAGAAATTGACAGAACACTAATAGAAATGTTTCAATAAACTGATACAGCACTGGAGACACTCACTCATGTATGCCAAGAAATTTGGAAAGCAGCTATCTGGTCAATTAATTAGAAGATATTTGTACTTGTACCTATTCCAAAGAAAGCTGAACACAACAGAATGCAGAAATTATCAAATAATATTATTAATATCACATGTAAGTAAAAACTTTGCTGCAGAGAATTAAAAAATGGTTGCAGCAATAAATCAATAGGAAGCTGCCAAAAATCCAAGTCAGATTCAGAAGAAGATGTGGAAGCATGGATATCATTGCTGATGTCAGATGGATCTTGGCTGAAAGCAGAGAATACAAGAGAGATGTTTACTGGTGCTGAAACGTTGAATGAAGATTCTGTGCTTAGTGGGTCCATGTCAGTAAATTCAGACTAATCCAATGTTGTATTCTCCTCTATCCCACATCCTTAATAGCCATTTCCACACATATTACCAAGGTTTATGTTTGTATATATTAGAAAAATCAAGGAGTTATTTTAGAGTGTAGCCTACCTCTTCCTGGGTCACAGTTTATACTGCACCTTTTGGGGTTTTCTGGGATTTAAATCTAGTTATAGATCTAGAATTAATAACAGTGGTGGGGGTACTTCCTGGGACCATCCAACAATATCTTATAAGGCATCTGCCTCCGCAATGCTCTAGACAATTCTCAATGTGCCATCCCAGGTGATATCTCAGATGTACCTGGGTTAAACCAAAAGTAAGAAGGTTTTTACTGTTGGCAGAAGTGATTCAATGAAATTTAGGGACTCAGTGTACCCATATTCCTGATTATCTGCCCATATGTCCATACCCCAAGTTTCAGGATCCCATTTCTTTTCAATGAATGCCCTCACTTTAACAATCAGACACCATTTCATGTTGGGAATTCTGTTGGAGTTATAATTCAGCCACTCTTTCTGTATGACTCTGGGTTTGGTTTTTAGCAACATCAGCTCTGTTATTACAAGAAATAAGGCTTTCTTTCAAGGTTCAAGTGGAAGTTTGAAGTCTTTTATGTGGCGCTGGATCTGTGACTCTGAAGTTCTGATCTCATCTCTTCTCTTTACCTCTTTGGCAATTGTAAGCAGGACCAACCAACCAGCTTCCCTATACTTTACATCCTGACAAAATTGTAGAAAAGCATCAAACACACCACTACCCAGGACCTTGCTTCTCACCAATACTTCATCTATCTGTGGTGGTATTTTGCATATTAATGTGTGGCACTACGAAGTAATGTGCTGGACTGCAAGGTTGATTTGAACTGCAAAGTCAGGCAGTTCAAGCTCACCAGCTGTTCCTTGGTAACCCTATATAGGGTTGCTATGAGTCTGAGCCGACTCGATGGCACTTAACAAAAACAACAGCAATGCCATAGATCAGCAGCACCTTCTTTACTGATGGAGGCAGAATTATCAGTGTCTTTAAAACTCGTCAGACTTGATAATCAATTTAGAAAACTCATCCTTATGTTTTTGTTTCTCTAGAACCACTGTTGTTACCAAATGTCTTAGGCTTGTTTATCTAGAGAAGCAAAACTGTGGTGCTCATATAAATAAATAAATAGATACAAAATAAATAGACATATATGCATACATATATGCATTTGAGAGAGAAAGAGAGAGAGAAGTTTATCTTAAGGAAATGGTGCTTAAGATGTTGTAGATGTTGCTATCTTCCACATCTGTGTGTCAGATGTCAGGCTGTATGTTCTCCTGACTCATGCAACTTCAAGGGCTGATGAACCTAAGATTGATAGGTCAAGCAGCAGGCTTCTGACTGATGAAGAGAATGAATCCAAAGTTGGCAGGTAAGATGGCAGGCTGCTGACCACTCTGAGTTTTGACAGGTAATATGTCCAAATAACTGGGGGTCAGAGGACAAACAAGATGTAGGATCCAGATCCAGCAAAAAGCAAGCAAGGGAAGGTATGATAGCAGGAAATTCTGAAAAACGTACCACTAATGCTACCAAGTGTTTAATGGTCAAGAACACTGGGGTTTCCATAAGTTAGAAATTTCATATAGTGAAGGTTTAAATGGAGCACATTATTTTATTCAGTCGGACTGTCCCTTCCAATTAAAAACATATTTTTGTGTGTGTCCACGAGAGTGATATGGGACATACTTGAAAAAAGTAGTACTTATATTATATTATTTTTATTGTAATAATCAAGTTTATATTTAAACTTGGCAAATGCGCATCGCAGTCCTGTAGGATTGGAATACAAGGTCGGTTTGATCCATGACATCAGGGTTTCAAACCCACTAGCCACTCCTGGGTTTGACCCTATACAGGGTCGCTATGAGTCAGAACCAACTCTATGACACTTAACAGCAACAACAAATGCACATTCACTCCAAAGGGAAGAAAGAACAAATTTCCAAAAAATTTTCTTCAGTGATACTTTGAATTCTAAAGACTAATTTATATGTAAAGGTATAGAGAAAATAGTTGAAAACTCCATTTACAAAAAAGTCATTACATTTGTCTCAATTTAATACACATGTTCTTTACAACTATTCTTGTATTGCTCATGAAAAATTCACAAGCATTAAAGAAAGCTAGCCATCCCCTCCAGTTATATTTCTGTTGTCTTGGTTCTTTAGTGCTGCTATTAGAGAAATACAACAAATGGATGGCTTTAGCAAACAGAAATTTATTTTTCATAGTTTTACTATTGTCGAGTCAGTTCCAACTCATAGACACCCAGTATAGGGTTTCCCAGGAGTGGCTGGTGGGTTTGAACCATTGACCTTGCTGTTCGAATTGACTTTTTGGTCCATTGTATTATCCTGGACAGTCTCAAAGTTTAGGTGGCTAAAAGTCCAAATTCAGAGTACTGGCTTTAGGGGAAAGCTCTCTCTGTCAGTTCTAGAGAAAGGTTTTTGTCTCTTCAGTTCTGCTTCCTGGCTCCTTGGAGATCTGTGTTTTGGCATCTATTTTACCCTAATTCAGCTTGCTGTTTCGCTTGTTTGATCTCTTTGAGATCTCAAAACAGATGGATTTCAACCACACCCTACACCTACTCTATTCATTAACATAACAAAGGCAATGCATTCTTAAATGGGATTATAACTATTGGAATTGATATGTGCTTCTAGTGGCTTCCAACTCATAAGCATTCAGTATAGGGTTCCAGGGGCTGTAAATCTTTGCAGGAGCAGAAAGCCTCATCTTTCTCCCGAGGAGTGGCTGAATTGGAAGAGATCCATATTTGTGCCCATTCCAAGAGAGACAACCCAATAGAATGTAGAAATCATTGAACAATATCATTAATAGCACATGCAAGTAAAATTTTGCTGAAGAGAATTCAAACACAGCTGCAACAGTGCATCACCAGGGAACTTGCCAGAGGTTCAAGTCGGTTTCAGATGAAGATGTTGTTGTTGTTAGGTGTCATTGAGTTGATACCGACTCATAGCGACCTTATGCACAGCAGAATAAAACATTGCCCGATCCTGGGCCAACCTCACTATTGTTGCCACGCTTGAGCTCAATGATGCTGCCACTTTGCCAATCCATCTCACTGGGGGTCTTCCTCTTTTTCTCTGACCCTCCGCCTTACCAAACATGATATCCTTTCTCCAGTAACTGGTCCCTCCTGACAATATGTCCTAACTATGAGAGACAAAGTTTGGCCATCCTGACCTCCAAGGAGCACTCTGGTTGCACTTCTTCCAACAAAGATCTGTTGGTTCTTTTGGCAGCCCAAGGCACTTTCAATATTCTCCTCCAACACTGTAACTCAAAAGCATCAATTCTTCTACAGTCTTCCTTATTTACTCTCCAGCTTTCACATGCATGTGAGGTTATTAAAATTACCCTGGCTTGGGTCAGTCACACCTTAGTCTTCAACATTTCAAAAAATGTCTTGTGCAGCAGATTATCCTAATGCAACACATTCTTTGATTTCTTGACTG